GGAAGGAAGGAAGGAAGGAAGGAAGGAAGGAAGGAAGGAAGGAAGGAAGGAAGGAAGGAAGGAAGGAAGCAAGCAAGCCCTGGGTTCTGCCGTTAATGTCCTGGCCAGAACCTGGTCCTTGGGAGAGTCCTGCTATTCAACCGAGCTATTCCCATCCTTGAAATGAGCTTCCATCTTTTCTACTTCACGTTATGGCATTTCCACGCATTAGACCCCACCTCTGCCCACTTCATTTGGTGCAGAAACATTTACTCCCCCCCCCCCCCAGCTCTCCCCTCTTCAGTTTATGCCACGTGGCTTCTGTTTTCTCGCGTCCTCCCTACCAAGCCCCTTTATCAGCTACACTTTAAAAGCAAATTTAAGCAAAAAGGGTATATTGTCTGAGCAGGGCCTGTCAGTAGGGCTGGCGGCCTCCAGATGGAATGTGGAGCTCTCCCGGAATTACAACTTAATTTCTAGACTATGGTAACCAGTTCCCCTGGAGGAAAGTCTGCAATAGAAGAGCTCAATTCGAGTCCAGTAGCATCTTCAAGGGCAGAATCTCCAGGGCAGAAGCGTTCGAGAGTCAAAGCTCCCTTATAAGCGTGCAAAACACCACACCCAACACACATCCACTCCCCGTGATAGGCTATTTACATTACACTGCTTATCTATTGGTTAGTTCCTGGATCCAGGCAAGCTATTGTTCTGGAGAAGCAAGCTCAGCCCATTCTAGGTACAGTTGAGGAAAGGCTTAGGCTCAATACATAACAGACCATTTGGGTCCAGAAGAAGAAGAAGAGGAGGAGGAGGAGGAGGAGGAGATTGGGTTTATACCCCTGCCCTTCACTACCCAAAGGAGTCTCAGAGCGGCTTACAAACTCCTTTCCCTTCCCCTCCCCACAACAGACACCCCGTGAGGTAGGTGGGGCTGAGAGAGCTCTTGACAGAAACTGCTCTTTTTCCAAGGATAGCTCTGACAGAACTATGGCTTGCCCAAGGTCATCCAGCAGGTGCAAGTGGAGGAGTGGGGAATTAAACCCGGTTCTCCCAGATTAGAGTCCGCGCACTTAACCACTACACCAAACTGTTATTTTGTGCAGCATGCAAACAAACGGGGTCTTCTTAATCCAACACAGAGGGCTGAAGGGCATCTAATCACGATGGCGGGTGAACAGAGGAACGGGCCCCTGGCGGATATTAGGATGCCTCGTAGTGTTGCCAACTCCAACCAGGCAAATTCTTAGAGATTTGGGAGCAGTGCCCGTGGAGGAGGAAAACTGGGCGAGGTATTTCACCTACTGTAGCATCTATGGCATACCACAGAGTCTGACCCTCTGAAGCCGTCCTTTTCTCCGACGGACTCGATCTCTGCAGCCCAGAACAGGATGCGGCTGATTCTCTGGCATGGTTTTAGCTGGGGACTGGTGGTTTCAACCTTCCCTCTTTTGGGACCTGTTTCTCTCCGGGGACCAGCCTAAACTTCGCCATCTCCTCCTTCGCTTCCTTCCTCCTTCCTTCAGTTCACTTTGAGAATGCCTGGTGCGAAACAAAACAGATGGCTAAATAAGAGAGTTGTCCTCCTTTCCTTTTATTTATTAGCTTCTTTGACCAAAGGTCTTAGGCCAAACGTACCAACAACGATCTACAGAACACATTACATATGATTACAAGATAATGTGGTCCTAAATATTTTAGAAGTAGAGAACTAATAATCATGCTCACAAGCGAAATTAATAGGCAACAATTGATAAATTCCATAAAATCCCATAGTATTGTAGAATTTGGTTTTAAAATTATTATACATAAAAACTACATAGAGTATGGTCACACATGGCCAGATAATGCGTGGGGGAAGCGAAGCTATTTGCCCCGTAGTAATTTGACCCGCCACTGCGCGATCAGACACAATGGAGGGTTAATCGGATTTTTGTCTTCGCCGCGTGTTTCCAGTGCGCTTCAATGAGGAATCACTGGCGCAATGGGAGCGCCGCTGGAGCGATCGCACGGGGACATCCGTCTGCGGCCCGTCGCAAACCCATTTGCCACTGCACTTTCTCCGGTATTTTTAAACTCCGCTTCTTCGGCAGAGCAAGACGGGTTGCCGACGGGTACCAGGTTTTCCTGTGTGATCGCGCCCTTAAAATCCGCCCCGGCGTTCGTGCCTATCGCGCGGCTAATTCTGCATGTGATCGGGACCATGGATCATTTCAAAGACGCTTTAAAAAAATAACACTCATCGATCGATATTTTAGCCACCCAGCGAGTTGTTTTCAGGGTCCTCATCTGCTCGCAATGAGGTTATCACCCAAGGTTCCGCTGGAAGGTGATATCTACATAAAATGTATTTACTTTCAATTTATATCCCGCCTTGCCTGCACAGGTAGACTCAAGAAGAAGAAGAAAAGGAAGAGATTGGATTTATACCCCGCCCTTCACTTGGAGCCTCAGAGCGGCTTACAAACTCCTCTCCCTTCCCCTCCCCACAAAAGACACCCTGTGAGGTGGGTGGGGCTGAGAGAACTCTTGACAGAAACTGCTCTTTTTCAAGGACAGCTGTGCCAGAGCTTGTGGCTGACCCAAGGTCACATCAGCAGGTGCAAGTGGAGGAGTGGGGAATCAAACCCGGTTCTCCCAGATTAGAGTCCGCACACTTAACCACTACACCAAACTGGCTCTCTCAAGGCGGCGCTCGGCGAGTTAAAATACAGTAAAACACAGTGCATAACTATAGGGCAATAAGAATTCCACATATAGGACAATAAGATTTCCACATAAAACAGTATACAAATAAAGTGCAAATCAGTATAGATGGCGGTTGCTGCATATTGATCCGGTGTAACCAGACCAGCATCCATGGCTGTTAATTAGTGCTTATCAGACAGTGGTCTGATGTTGCCACATACATAAGTTTGCCCTGGGTACCTGAGCACCCCAAAGGCACAACTTTTTTGTGGAAAGCGGGAGAACACCCCCTGCATCCAACTGCTACTGATCCCCACTGACCAGTCCCACCCAAGAGGCGGCGGAAGCCCTTGACCAACAGCTGCCCTCGGCTCTTTGGAACAGAGCGGGGATGTTCCAGAGGCAGCGTTGACCGATGCTCCCTCTAGGCTGTGGAATCTTGTGAGCAACAATCCCACTTTGTCAGCTCCTGGCATTAAAGTTGTGGGCGAGTGATTTTGGCTATGGCATGGATCCGTTTGCTCTGGGGCCATCCTTCCTGAGCTGAGGCAAAAAACTGTGAGCCGGAGCCTAAACCCTGTGAACTAGCTAGCTCGCACGAACGCAGCTTAGAGGGAACACTGGCTTTGACCCCAGAGGAGGTTACACCCCCCCCCAGACGGCCTGCCGCCTTTGTACTTTATTTTTAAAACGCCTTCTCTCCCACATCCTAACTGCCAACCAGGAAGCTTGCAACGGACTAAAAACGAAATCACGTTTTGACTTGGGAGCCGGTGTTTTATTTCTAGGCCCTCGAGAGACGCGGGCTGCACCGCAGCAGCAGATGTCTTTCGCAGGTGGGGCCCCCCTGTTAACTGGGAAGGGTAGAGCAGGCCTTCCCCGTGCATCTCAGGGCCGCTGACCCCAGCTTGGGAGATCCCTGGAGATTTGGGGGGCAAAACCTGTGGCCGGCAGCACCACGGGAGGCAAGGGAGATCAGAGGGGCTGCTGTGCCGGTCGAGGGCTTTTCTCCTAGTTTCTATGGTATACCATAGAGCCCGCCCTGCAGAGGTGGTGTTTCCTTCCAAGGGAAGTGAACTCTCTAATCCGCAGATCAGTTGCAACGCCAGGAGAACTCTAGGCCTCGCCTGGAGGTTGGCAACCTGATATTTTAATGTCTGTTTGCAGGGTGTGCATTTGTCTGTTTGTCTTCCCCAGACTTTAGCAGACGACACCGAAGACGTCTCGCTCGACTTTGGCAACGAGGAAGAGCTGGCATTGAGGAAAGCCAAAATCAGGTAAAGCTGGGCCACATCTCGAGCGGCTCAGAGGCGTCACCCGTGTCTAAACTTCTGCAAATTGACTGCGTGCGACTCCCCTCCCCCCTCCGCAACATAGAACGAGGGACTCTCATACATCCCCCCGTTTCCTGACATGTACCGCAAATACATCAGGACACAAGCCATGGGTTAGATCTAAAAGGCCACTAGCAGAGAGCTCTGCCCATGAAACGGGAACTCGAAGGATAAAAGGGAACACTTTCCCTATGAAGACAGGTTAAAACGCTCGGGGCTCTTTAGCTTGGAGAAACGACGGCTGAGGGGTGACATGATCGAGGTTTACAAGATGATGCGTGGGATAGAGCAGGTTGAGAAAGAGGTCCCTTTCTCCCTTTCTCACAATACAAGAACTCCTTGTGGGCACTCCATGAAATTGCTGAGCGGTCGGGTTAGAACGGATAAAAGGAAGTCCTTCTTCACCCAAAGAGTGATTAACACGTGGAATTCACTGCCACAGGAGGTGGTGGCGGCTACAAGCATGGACGGCTTCAAGAGGGAATTGGATAAGCATATGGAGCAGAGGTCCATCAGTGGCTATTAGCCACAAGGTATAGACAGGGGCTCTGGGACCAAGGGATGCTCTGTATTCTTGGTGCTTGGGGGGGGGGAGCTGTGGGAGAGTTTCTAGTGTCCTGGCCCTACTGCTGGACCTCCTGATGGCACCTGGTCTTTTTGGCCCCTGTGTGACCCAGAGTGTTGGACTGGATTGGCCTGATCCAACATTGACCTCTCTTATGTTCTTATGTTCTTATGTTCTTAATAGCGTGGGGTGCACACTGGGAGGAGCAGAGCCGCTGCTTGGCATGCGGAAGGTCCCAGGTTCCGTTCCCGGCATGTCCAGTTAAAAAAAGACCAGGCAGGAGGTGACGGGAAAGACCTCCGCCTGAGACCCTGGAGAACAGCTCCCAGTCAGAGCAGACAATATTGGCTTTGCTGGGCCGAAGGGCTGGTTCAGTGTAAGGCCGCTTCATGAGTTCATGGAGGGAAAACTCAGTAGCAAACTCCCACGGTAAACCAGGGGCAACCTGCCAGGGGCTAACCCTGTGTGGCGAGACCCCAGCTGCTTCCGCACAGGAGCCGGGCAGATGCTAAGCCCGCTGTCAGCTGGCAGTCCTCCCCCCACATCACGCAAAGGGGCTGCGAGCCCCCATTGTGGGTGGGCGGGGCCTTTTTGCCTCCCCGGATGGAAATCAGCAGAGGAGGCGAGATATAGGAACTGCCAAAGCTAAGAGAGACACATGAGGCTGTTTCCCTTCTAAAGACCTAAATCTATCGCCCGCGTGACTCCACGATGGCTGAGTACCACAGAGGGGAAATCCAAGGCAGCCTCCGTTTGGCAACCCCCACCCCCTGCAAGAGCAGGAGTGTCGTCTAGACGGAACTCGCTGCGTGCAGAGAAGAGGAAGTGGTGAAACCGGCTTTCGCTCTCAACTGGCTGCTGGGGACTGATCAATACGTTCTCACCTGCCCTGCAGTCCTGGGGCAGAGACGCCGCATGAAGGCCCCGGCACTGACCATTGCAGCTGCCGTACCTCCAGGTGAGGCCTGGAGATATCCCAGAATTACAACTGTTCACACGTGAAGACACGAAGCTGCCTTCTGCTGAATCAGACCATCGGTCCATCAAACTCAGTCTTGTCTACTCAGACTGGCAACCGCTCTCCAGGATCTCAGGCAGAGAGAGGTCTCTCCCATCCCCTCCTGCCTGGTCCTTTTAAACTGGAGATCCTGCCGGGGACTGAACCTGGGACCTTCTGCATGCCAAGCAGAGGCTCTGCCACTAAGCCACAGCCCCTCTTTATAGCTCTCCAGGGTCTCAGGCGGAGGTCTCTCCCATCCCCTCCTGCCTGGTCCTTTTAAACTGGAGATGCTGTCGGGGACTGAACCTGGGACCTTCTGCCTGCCAAGCAGATGCTCTTCCACTGAGCCACGGCCCCTCTTTACAGCTCTCCAGGGTCTCAGGTGGAGGTCCTTCCCATCACCTCCTGCCTGGTCCTTTTTAACTGGAGATTCCTGGGGACTGAACCTGGGACCTTCTGCATGCCAAGCAGAGGCTTTCCCACTGAGCCACAGCCCTTCTTTGCAGCTTTCTAGGGTCTCCGGTGGAGGTCTTTCCTATCCCCTCCTGCCTGGCCCTTTTTAACTGGAGATGCTGCTGGGGATTGAACCTGGGACCTCCTGCATGCCAAGCAGAGGCTCTGCCACTGAGCCATGGCCACTCTTTGCAGCTCTCCAGGGTCTCAGGCAGAGGCCTTTCCCATCACCTCCTGCCTGGTCCCTTTTCACTGGAGTTTCCCGGGGACTGAACCTGGGGCCTTCTGCAGGCCAAGCAGAGGCTCTGCCACTGAGCCACAAGTCCTTTCCAATACGTGAGCTAGGTAATACGTGAGCCAGGTTTCAGGCTGTATAATGCAAAATTGTATCCGTATTTCCTCTAACTTAGCCCTCCTCCCCCCCAAGAAAACCTAAACTCTTGTCCGAATCTGGCCTGGCTCAAAAGCAGCCGACATCCAGCTCAGACTGGTACAGGAATCACTATCTCGGGCGTGCCGGAAGCTGCCCAGGTGTTCCACTCCCTTATCATACTCTCCTTTCCCCTTTGCAGAATTCAGGCGACAGCGTGGGGTTTTTCCCCAGCACCGGCCGAGCAAGTCGCAAATCTAGTGCAAGGGCGGATCGAGCCGTGTGCCCGGCTTTAGTTGGCAAACAAGGGGTTGTGTTGACATGGAGAAGGACAAAGTCCAACGGGGCAAGAATGCTTTTCTTACCAGCTGCTTTGGGAGAGCCAGAGCAGCCGTTTAGACACAGAGCCAGTGGGGTGCGGTGGCTAGAGCATCCGACTAAGATCTGGGGTGACCCAGGTTCGAATCTCTGCTCGGTCACGAAAGCTCACTGGGGATCTTGCCAGTCATACCCTCTCAGCTATAGCTTACGTCGCAGGGTTGTTGTGTGAATAAAACGGAGAAAAGAATTACGTAAGCGGCTTTGGGTCCCGTTGGGGGAGAAAGATGAGGTATCGAGGAAGTAAATGAATAAAAACGTGGCAAAAAGCAGCTTCCGGTGAGACCTGAGGCTCCCATTAGAAGGAGGGTGTTATGGTAAACCACATGATTGTCTTCCTGCCCCACGCAAAGCTTTTGGATCTGCCATGGGTCTCGAACTGATGGCCTGCAAGACATGGGTCTGGGGACCCTGCCTGTGCACCACCGTGAATTCATTTGAAAGCAGGGGGCTGCAGGGAGATCACCCAGGGGTGCTGCCAGAGACTCAATCCCCGGCGGCATCTCCAGTTAGAAGAGTCTGCTCGGTATGTATGTAGAGGGTCCCCGGTTCAGTCCCCAGAGGCATCTCCAGTTAAAAGGACCAGGCAGGAGGTGATGGGAAAGACCTCAGCCTCAGACCCTGGAGAGCTGCAAAGAGGGGCTGTGGCTCAGTGGAAGAGCCTCTGCTTGGCAGGCAGAAGGTTCCCAGTTCAGTCCCCAGCAGCATCCCCAACTAAAAACGACCAGGCAGGAGGTGATGGGAAAGACCTCCGCCTGAGACCCTGGAGAGCTGTCAAGATGGGCCGTGGCTTGGTATGTAGAGGGTCCCAGGTTCAGTCCCCGGCATCTCCAGTTAAAAGGACCAGGCAGGAGGTGATGGGAAAGACCTCCACCTGAGACCCTGGAGAGCGGCTGCCAGTCCGTGTAGACAATGCTGACCTTGATGAGCCAGGGGGTCTGATTCTGGATAAGGCAATTTAATACAGTCATGTTGATTACAAGCCATGATATAAAACATGGGATTGGCTATGTTGCCATCTCGACCGGCAGTGGAAAGCTTTGAATAAAGCCAACTGAACTTCACCTCGAACCACCACGAATCTCTGCTTGGTGTGCCTGTCTGTCAGGAGGGGACCCTGTGGTTTGTAGCAGTCACAGGTAGCCTAGCCTGAGACAGAATCTGTCTCTTTCTTTTCTGGCAGTGTGGCCGGGCTTTCTCCCATTCTTTCTTTTTTGGAGGGGTCCTTTGCCAGACCGGAATTGAGAGGGTGGGGCCCCCCAGTGCTTCTCTCTGTCTGGTCAAAAGGCTGCAGTGCCCCTCCATAACCCCCCCCCCCAGCTGAAGTTTTTTCACTTGCTGGCAGGGGGCCATTTCGTAGAAAAAGAGGTGCCGGAGCTCATTAGCATAACTCATTAGCGTAATTTATTTGCATATGCCCCACACCTCCTGGCATCACCGGAAGTGTGTCAGAAGGCAACACCCACCGCTCAGGCTCCACTGGATTCTTTTGGATCGCTAGCTATTGGGGTGGGGGGAACGTGCAGATCTGTCCTCGCAGAGGAGGGAGAGCTTGTACCTGAATAAAACTTGGTCTTAAAGGTGCCACTGGACTGTTATGGATTGCTAGTTTGGGGGGGGGGAGGAACGTGCAGATCTGCCCTCGCAGAGGAGGAAGAGCTTGCACCTGAATAAGACTCGGTCTTAAAGGTGCCACTGGACTGTTTTGGATTGCTAGCTATTGGGATGGGGGGAATGTGCAGATCTGCCCTCGCAGAGGAGGGAGAGCTTGCACCTGAATAAGACTCGGTCTTAAAGGTGCCACTGGACTGTCTTGGATTGCTAGCTATTGGGGTGGGGAGAATGTGCAGATCTGCCCTCGCAGAGGAGGGGGAGCTCGTACCTGAATAAAACTTGGTCTTAAAGGTGCCACTGGACTGTTTTGAACCGGGGGGCCGGGGGGGGGAGCTCTGCAACTTACCTGGCTGCTTCTTGCTCTGGCTGAGGACTGCTGGGAGCAGGGTGTGGGGCTTGTTCCATGTGCTCACCCCCCTGGGCTCTTTACTGCCGGAGCTCTGCTCCTGCACTCTCCCGCAGGAAATGACCCCTGCTTGCTGGTATTGCAGGGACTGCATCAGAAGTCACCTGCATGCACGAACCAGCCCAGCCGCCTCGTTCCGTGTAATTCACAGGCCTCCTGGTGTTTGTTCTCCTAGGCACCCCCTGGCCACTTTCTTCCACCTCTTTTTCCGGGTGAGTGCGATCGTGACCTACTTGTTCTGCGACTGGTTCAGCAAGAGCTTCGTTGCCTGCTTCGTGGTCATCCTCCTCCTCCTGTCCTTCGACTTCTGGTCTGTGAAGGTGAGACTCCCCCAGGCGGCCCCTGGAACCCGCTATTGTCCCACCTGATTCCATCTGCTCTCAATTCGGGCTCATGGGAATTCCGGCGCCGTGAGTCATCCTGGACCGACGTCAAGGGCGGTCACCCAATTAAGCTGTAGTCCAGTCACCCTACGAGCTTCCATTGATTAACGAATCGTGGTGATTTGTCATGGATCAGCAGATGAGTAAGATAATGCTTTTGAAGGACACGAGCACTTTCCTTGTTAATAATACACAAATGTCCCAGGAGTAGGCTTTAGAACAGATAAAAGGAAGTACTTCACCCAAAGAGTCGATTCACTGGAATTCACTGCCACAGGATGTGGTAGTGGCCAGTGTTCCCTCTAAGCTGAGTTTGTGTGAGCTAGCTCACAGTTTTTTACCCTCCAGCTCATAAATTTTTGTCTTCGCTTCGAAAAGACCGCTCCAGAGCAAACTGATTTATGCAGGAGCCAAATCGCTCACTCACAATTTTAATGCCAATAGCTCACAAAGAAGAATTTTTGCTCACGGGACTCCACAGCTTAGAGGGAGCATTGGTGGTGGCTACAAGCGTAGACAGCTTCCTCTTTCGGAGGCAGTGATACTCTCTAATCTTGGAGCTTGGGTGAGCTTCTGGAGTTCTGGCCCCGCTGGTGGACCTCCTGATGGCCCCTGGGTTTTGGCCACCGTGTGACACAGAGTGCTGGACTGGATGGGCCATTGGCCTGATCCAACATGGCTTCTCTTATGTTCTTAAGTCAGGGACAGTGATGCTCTGTCTTCTTGGTGCTTGGGGGGGGCAACAGTGGGAGGGCTTCTGGAGTTCTGGCCCCACTGGTGGGCCTTCTGATGGCACCTGGGTTTTGGCCACTGTGTGATACAGAGTGTTGGACTGGAGGGGCCACTGGCCTGATCCAACATTGGCTTCTCTTATGTTCTTATGAGCAGAGTTCCATCATTGGCTATTAGCCACAAGGTATAGACAGGGACTCTCGGTCTGGGGCCAGGGATGCTCTGTCCTCTTGGTGCTGGGGGGGGGCAGCAGTGGGAGGGGCTTCTAGTGTCCCGGCCCCACTGCTGGACCTCCTGATGGCACCTGGTGCTAATGGCCACTGTGCGACACAGAGTGCTGGACTGGATGGGCCATCGGCCTGATCCAACACTGGCTTGTCTTACGTTCTTATGAGACATCTCTGAGAAGACGCATTCCCTCTTGCTGTGGGAGCAAGAAAAGGGATGCCCCTTTTCAGACGGCACCTGCAAGATTTGTAAATTCCTGTATTAAGAAATAATTTCAGCATTTTGAAGAATCAGTTGCCTGGTTCAGTGGGAATACCTGCTGGTTGGATCTTCCCACAGAACACGGCAATCCCAATACTGCACCAAACCTGGGATCTTCCGTGAACAGAGCGGGTGCTCTACCGCTTGAACCACAGCGTGTCCCCAAAACCCACTGACACATGGGTTTATACAAAGTCAGGCTCAAACGACTTGGTCTTGCTTCTCTCGACTGGCTCGCCTCACTCTTGAGTTCCCAGCAGACTGTGAAAGACTCGACAACACTCACCTAAAACGCCCTTGACTTCTTGCCTCACGTAGGGCAAAGTTTCTCAAGCTTCCGATAGCCAAGGGACCGTCTTTCTGAAATGGGCAGGAGAGCCCACTGTTTGCATGTCAGCAGCACGAGACATCATTCTGACCGTGCCTTCCTGTCAGCCTTAAGCCCTAGATCACTAAGTCAGGCAGAGTTGCAACAGCCGGCCTCCCCTGAAGCTTGTTGCATCTCTGAGCCGACCCCATCACACGGCACCTTCGTCGGTGCCAGTAATTCTGAAACGGTTGGCCCAGGCTGCTGCGCAGGATAAGTTGGTTCATGAATGGTTTCCATAACTAAAAGTCCAGAGGGCTCTCTGTCTCTCTCTGGACGTTGTCCTGGGTCTCCTTCCCGTCGCCCTCTGCTAGAGATGGCTAACTCCATGACTGCGAGGATGTGCCTCTCTGAAACAGCCGCCGGTTTTCATTTTGCTACTTAGAATGTCACCGGCAGACTCCTGGTGGGACTCCGCTGGTGGAACCAGATCGACGAGGACGGGAAAAGCCACTGGGTGTACGAAGCCAAGAAGGTACGTACTCCCTCTTGAGATTCGGGTATTTCTCTGGGCTATGCAAACGTCGCCCTTCTAGATGGGCCCCAGGGCAGAAAACGCGTCATGCGGAATGCAGAACAGCCGAGCTCTTCCCCGAGTGCTTCGCAAAGGATATGCTCAAGCAGGTTTGAAGAACTCTGCCTGTCCTCCTGGGGTCACCCAAAATTCGGGTGCAAAGCCCAACCGACCTGGCAAGTCCGCTCAAGAGCTCCTCTGTTCTCTGTCCCGCTATGAGAACATTTGCAAATCTGTTGGCGTCAGTGCTTAATTTTGCATGTGAAAACATTATGCACAGGAGTGCACAGAGGTTATTGTTTCCATTTTACGACATCTAAGAGTCTTAGTTGTGAGAGCTGGTTAATCATCCTGAATGCCTGTAGCCAGACAAAGCTCACCACCACCCCAACTGCATTTGCATCTAGTAATCTGAGAGGGAGACCGGCAGCATCTCCTGTAACGCTCTAGACATGTGTGCCGTCCGGTCTCACGGTGGCTGCTTCACGGGCGTCGCCAAAATGCATGGCTCAAGTTGAACTTACGAAGCCCACTCATAAGTCATTCTGTGCATGTCTGAATGAGTACTTGCTTTATACAGGATCAGGCCATGGTCCATCTGGCTCAATTTGGTGTAGTGGTGTCGTGGTTAAGTGCACAGACTAATCTGGGAGAACCGGGTTTGATTCCCCACTCCTCCTCCACATGCACCTGCCGGATGACCTTGGGCAAGCCGTAGTTCTGACAAGAGCTGTCCTTGAAAAAAACCAGTTTCTGTCAGAGCTCTCTCAGCCCCACCTACCCCACAGGGTGTCTGTTGTGGGTAGGGGAAGTGAAAGGAGTTTGTGAACCGCTCTGAGACTCCTTTGGGTAGTGAAGGGCAGGGTAGAAACCCAATCTCCTCTTCTTCTTCTCAAGACTCTCTGCTGAGACTATCTGCAGCTCTCCAGGGTCTCAGGCATGATGTCTTTCCTATCAGTTCATGCCTGGTCCTTTTTAAGTGGAGATGCCGGGGATTGAACCTGGGACCTTCTGCATGCCAGGCAGAGGCTCTGCCACTGAGCCACAGCCCCTCTTTACAGGTCTCCGGGGTGTCAGGTGGAGGTCTTTCACAGCACATCCTGCCTGGTCCTTTTTAACTGGAGATGCTGCCGGGGACTGAACCTGGGACCTCCTGCAGGCCAAGCACAGGCTCTGCCACTGAGCCATGGCCCCTCTTTCTCCAGAGTCTCAGACCTGATGTCTTTCGTTTTACCTCCTACCTTGATCCTTCAACTGGAGATGCTGCCAGGAATTGAACCTGGAGGCCTTCTGCATGCCAAGCAGAGGCTCTCCCACTGAGCCACGGCCCCTCTTGACAGCTCTCCAGGGTCTCAGGTGAAGGTCTTTCCCATCCCCTCCTGCCTGGTCCTTTTAACTGGAGATGCTGGGGATTGAACCTGGGACCTTCTGCATGCCAAGCACAGTTTCTACCACTGAGCCACGGCCCCTCTTTCTCCAGAGTCTCGGGCCTTTCGCATTACCTCCTACCTTGATCCTTCAACTGGAGATGCTGCCGGGAACTGAACCTGGGGGCCTCCTGCGTGCCAAGCAGAGGCTCCTCCACTGAGTCCCCCCTTTCTTTACTTGATCCCATTCTACTTCAGAAATACAAACTGGTGCTCCTCAAAAGAGAGCCACATCCAAGGACGTTGTGTGCAACAGAGATGTAATTTGGAGCTAGGCTGATGCAAACCACAAAGTGCCTCTTCTTCTTCTTCTTTTTAAACAAATGAGCATTTTAAAGAAACTTAACAAACATCCTTTCCTCTTTGTCCTGCTCTTGGAATCCGAGAATGCTGTAAGGCTTGTCCATCTACGTTGGACCAATGCTTGTTTAATATTATTATTATAGTTTTAAAAAAGGCTTTGGAACCCATTCGGCCGGCCACCGTTTATAACAAAGATTAAGGAAGTTCATCCTGCAGGACGGGGAAGTGAATCTACATTCCTAGAACTAAGGCGTACGCGGCAGTTGTTCCTGTTTCTGCTGAATGCCGTGTTGTTATTCTTGCGCGAGGTCAACTGATGTCAACTCTCTGGCCCTTGCAGGTCCCTTCCAGCGCCACAGCCCCCACGGAAGTCGAGGCCCGGATCTTCTGGCTGGGGCTGATCATCTGCCCGGTCATCTGGACCATCTTCTTCTTCAGCACACTCTTTTCCTTGAAGCTGAAGTGGCTGGTAAGGCCGGGGTGGGGGCAAACTCAACCACGATGCCAGAATCGCAGATTGGGACGGGTTAAATCTCTTCTTCCCCGGCAATGCAGCCCTGCTCCATCCAGGGTGACCAACATTAAGCTGTTCTGGAGGCAGTGTCCCCTCTAAGCTGAGTCAGTGTGAGCTAGCCACAGTTTTTTAGCCTCCGGCCCACACATTTTTGTCTTTGCTCAGGGAGGATGGCTCCGGAGCAAACTCATTTATGCAGGAGCCAAATCGCTCGCTCACAACTTTAATGCCAGCAGCTCACAAAGTAGAATTTTGCTCACAAGACTCCACAGCTTAGAGGGAACATTGCTTCCAAAACATGTGCTGTTAACAGTCAAAAGAATGTAGAGCTTGACAAAGCAGCCGGCTCGAATTCTGCCCAGAGTAGCCTTTTCACACAGCCCTTGGGTATCCTCGGCCCTGCCCACAACCAGAAAGAAAGGAGTAAAGGGTCATACGGCTGGGGGTTTTCACTTGCAAAACACATCAAGAGTGTGAAACCCCACAAGCAGGTATGGACCAACGCTCCCTCTAAGCTGTGGAGTCTTGTGAGCAAACATTCTACTTTGTGAGCTGCTGGCATTAAAGCAGTGAGCGAGCGATTCACTGCATAAATTAGTTTGCTCTGGAGCCACATCCTTCCTGAGCTAAGACAGAAATGTGTGAGCCAGAGGCTAGAAAACTGTGAGCTAGCTCACACTAACTCAGCTTAGAGGGAACACTGCCACCCCCCTTATTAGCATTCACGTTGTACCTTTGGAGTGTGAAAACGTCTCAAGATCTAGTGTGGTGCAGGGGTTAGAGAGTCCGGCTAGGACCTGGGAAAGCAGGGTTCGAACCTGCACTCTGTCACGGAAGCTCGGCTGAGTGACGTTCGGCCATCTGCACACTCTCAGCCTAGCCTGCCTCACAGGGGTCTTGTGAGGAATAGGAGAGAGTGATGTAAGCCACTTTGGGGGGAGAAGTGGGGTTTCCCTTCCCCTCCCCACAACAGACACTCTGTGAGCAACGCTCCCTCTAAGCTGTGAAGTCTTGTGAGCAAACATTCTACTTTGTGAGCTGCTGGCATTAAAGCAGTGAGCGAGCGATTGGGCCGCTGCATAAATGAGTTTTCTCTGGAGCCCCATCCTTCCTGAGCGAAGGCAAAAACGCGTGAGCCAGAGGCTAAACAACTGTGAGCTGGCTCACACTCGCTCAGCTTAGAGGGAACACTGGTATGGACCCCAGTCCTCCAGCCTCACCCAGAGCCATCTCTCCTGCCCTCCCCTTCCCTAAAGCCACCTGTCTGCTTCTCCCACAGGCCCTCGTGATCGCCGGCATCTCCCTCCAGGCCGCTAACTTATACGGCTACGTCCACTGCAAGTTGGGAGGGTTGAGGAACCTCCAGAAAATCGCTGCGGGGTTCCCGGCTCAGCAGATCTTCCAGAGGGTGAGCTGTTGGTTCCTTTTAAATGAACGGCTGTCTGGGGCGGGCTGAAACATCCATCATATCAACCACCGGGAGGGACAACAGAAGACAAATCTTCCCAACTGAGGAGCCAGCCAAAAAAATAAAGACTACAAAAGAACAAACGGTAGCCAAAATCAAAAGCAGAAGCAACACTGAATGGTGTCCTAAACAAAGAGAAAAATGTTAAGAACACGAGAGCCCTGCTGGATCAGACCAGTGAGGGTCCAATGAATCCAGCCTCCTGTATCACACAGGGGCCAACCAGTTCCTCTGGAGGGCCAACAGGAGGGCACAGAGGCCTTCCTCTGATCAGAACATCAGAAGAGCCCTGCTAAGCCCAGGGAGGGTCCACCTAGTCCAGCATCCCGTCTCACACAGTGGCCAACCAGTTCCTCTGGAAGGCCAACAACAGGGCTTGGAGGCCGAGGCCTTCCCCTGATAAGAACCTCAGAAGAGCCCTGCTGGATCAGACCAGGGAGGGTCCATGTAGCCCAGCCTCCTGGTTCACACAGTGGCCAACCAGTTCCTCTGGAGGGCCAACAACAGGGCACGGAGGCCAAGGCCTTCCCCTGATAAGAACCTCAGAAGAGCCCTGCTGGACCAGACCAGTGAGGGTCCATCTAGTCCAGCATCCCATCTCACACAGTGGCCAACCAGTTCCTCTGGAGGGCCAACAACATGGCCACGGAGGCCGAGGCCTTCACCTGGTAAGAACCTCAGAAGAGTCCTCCTGGATCAGACCAGTGAGGGTCCATCCAGTCCAGCCTCCTGTCTCACACAGTGGCCAGCCAATTCTTCTGGAGGGCCAACGACAGGGCAGAGAGCCTTCCCCTGATAAGAACCTCAGAAGAGCCCTGCTGGATCAGACCAGTGAGGGTCCACCTAGTCCAGCATCCCCTCTCACACAGTGGCCAACCAGTTCCTCTGGAGGGGCAACAACAGGGCACAGACCTGGAAGGGTCCACCTAGTCCAGCATCCCGTCTCACACAGTGGTCCACCTAGTCCAGCATCCTGTCTCACACAGTGGCCATGGGTTTTGCACCATGGGTTTTGTACCATGGGTTTTGCACATAATATTGTTGCATATGATTTCTTAAGGTTTTCATTCATTCTTGGAAGAAGAATAGTATCGAAACGATAGAGCATCAGGGGCCAGCCAGTTCCTCTGGAGGGCCAACAACAGGGCACGGAGGCCAAGGCCTTCCCCTGATAAGAACCTCAAAAGAGCCCTGCTGGGTCAGACCAGGGAGGGTCCCTCTAGTCCAGCCTCCAGGGGCCAGCCAGTTCCTCTGGAGGGCCAACAACAGGGCACGGAGGCCAAGGCCTTCCCCTGATAAGAACCTCAAAAGAGCCCTGCTGGGTCAGACCAGGGAGGGTCCCTCTAGTCCAGCCTCCAGGGGCCAGCCAGTTCCTCTGGAGGGCCAACAACAGGGCACGGAGGCCAAGGCCTTCCCCTGATAAGAACCTCAAAAGAGCCCTGCTGGGTCAGACCAGGGAGGGTCCCTCTAGTCCAGCCTCCAGGGGCCAGCCAGTTCCTCTGGAGGGCCAACAACAGGGCACGGAGGCCAAGGCCTTCCCCTGATAAGAACCTCAAAAGAGCCCTGCTGGGTCAGACCAGGGAGGGTCCCTCTAGTCCAGCCTCCAGGGGCCAGCCAGTTCCTCTGGAGGGCCAACAACAGGGCACGGAGGCCAAGGCCTTCCCCTGATAAGAACCTCAAAAGAGCCCTGCTGGGTCAGACCAGGGAGGGTCCCTCTAGTCCAGCCTCCAGGGGCCAGCCAGTTCCTCTGGAGGGCCAACAACAGGGCACGGAGGCCAAGGCCTTCCCCTGATAAGAACCTCAAAAGAGCCCTGCTGGGTCAGACCAGGGAGGGTCCCTCTAGTCCAGCCTCCAGGGGCCAGCCAGTTCCTCTGGAGGGCCAACAACAGGGCAGAGAGGCCGAGGCCTTCCCCTGATAAGAATCTCAGAAGAGCCCTGCTGGATCAGACCAGTGAGTCCGGTGGCAACTTTAAGACCAACAAAGTTGTTTTCAAGGAAGCTTTCGTGTGCATATACACTTCTACAGCTATGATACACGCGGAAGCTTATAAGAGGAACAGAACTTAGTTGAGGTAGATTTGAGCCCAGCAGTACCTTAGGGACCCGCAAGATTTTCAGGTTATAAGCTGTTGAGAGTCAAAGCTCTCTGCTTCCCGGGTCAGGCCACACCTGAGGTACCATGTGCAGTTCTGGAGGCCTCACTTCCAAAAGGATGTGGACAGGATGGAGCGGGTGCAGAGGAGAGTGACGAGGATGACTGGAGGCCTGGAGACCAAGAAGCCCTGTGAGGAAAGGCTGAAGGACCTGGGAATGTTTAGTTTGGAGAAGAGGAGGTTGAGGGGGGACATGATTACGTATCTGAAGGGCTGTCAGCTAGAGGAGGGCAGGGAGCTGTTCCTGTGGGCAGCAGAGGAGAGGACTCGCAAGAATGGGCTTAAATTAAGGGCGGGAAGGTGCCGGCCAGATCTTATGAAAAACATTTTGACAGAAGATTATTTATGCGCCGCCCTTCACTGGGAGTCTCAGAGCACCTTACAATCTCCTTTTCCCTTCTCCTCCCCACAACAGACACCCTGTGTGGTGGGTGGGGCGGAAAGAGCTCTTTTGAGAACTCTTTCAAGAACAGCTCGTCAGAAGTATGGCTTAGCCAAGGTCATCCATCAGCTGCATGTGGAGGAGTGGGGGAATCGAACTCGGTTCTCCCAGGGAGGCAGTGAGCTCCCTCTCACTGGCAGCCTTTAAGCAGCGGCTGGAGAAACACTCTAGGCTGGTCCTGCATTGAGCAGGGGGTTGGACTAGATGACCCGCGTGGTCCCTTCCAACTCCGTGATTCTAGGATTTGTCAGATACAAACTAGATTAATGTCATTTCATTCATTGTCCAGGACACGCCAGAGGGATTTCAGAAGACGGTGCTGAAGGGGATCGGAACATGAAGACCAGGAGGTGAGCCTTCCCCCCCAGAGACGAGGCTCCAGGTCAGAAGCATCAAAAAAGATGGCCTCTCTGTCCCGGAACTTGCCATCAGGGTTCTGCACCCGTCGTCCCTCATCCCCTAGTCGCAGGCTGAAAGCGTCGTGCATGCGCACGGTCTCGGGTTTGTGCCTGCAGGAAGCTCTTGCAGCTTCTTCCTCTTCTGCAGCTCCCGGCCCACGGGAATCCCCTCTGGCCAGCTCATTCCTAGCATAAAGCTGGATGTTTTTGATTGAAGCTGAGGAATTGAAAGCAAGCCGGAACCGGTCTCCTTCCCCCGGCAACCAAATTAGCGCCGAGAGCTATAAACAAGGCTCCCCCTCCTTTGCACGGCTGCTTTGCTGACTGTCTCCAAGAGAGAACGCATTTATTTATTTTGTGTCTATCCCACCTTCCTCCCCAGTTGGGACCTAAACAGATCCTTCTCCTCTCCTCTGTTTTATCCTCAACCCTGTGAGATAGGTTAGGCGGAGAGAGTCTGACTGGGTCAAGGTCACCCAGTGAGGTTCCAGGGCAGAGAGCAGGTTCAAATTTTTCCGAACTGGAAAAAAAACCAAAAACCTTTTCCAGCATTTTTTGGGTATTCGGCATACCGAATCAGATCCCCTGAGCTGATTCAGCTGCTGAATACTGAATGCCAAAAAAACCCCAAAAAAGTTTCTCCAAGATACACTGCTGCCTGCTTTTCCCCATCCCCATAGGAAACAATGGAGGATTGGGGGCACCCTCTTTGGATGCTCCTAGAATTGGACCCCCTGTTCCAACCTTTTTCAAACTTGGGGGGTCTTTTGGGGAGAGGCTCCAGCACCTACAGTACAAATTTGGTGCTTCTACCTCAAACCCCCTCCCCCCCCAGCCCCCTAATTACTTCTTAGAAGATTTTTGCCATTTACAATGGCCCCATAGGATATAATGGAGCCAAAAATTTTCAGGAATACCAAAAATTTTCAGGTACCCATAGAATATCGGTATTCGGGTATATTCGGGAATTCCGAAAAAACTCAGCTTTATTATACCCGAATCCGGAAAAAAAGATTCCCTAGTTCAAATCTCAGTTTCTCAGATCCTAGCCCAACACTAGTCCAAGGAAAGTTTTACAGATAACATGGACGGCCAAAAAGACAAATCAGTGGGTGGGTTCTAGATCAAACCAAGCCTGAGCTCTCCCGAGAAGCTGAGATGACCAAACTGAGGATATGGTACTTTGGGTGCATCGTGAGAAGACGAGAGTCCCTGGGAAAGGCAACCAGGCTAGGAAGGCAGCAGGAAAAGAGGAAGAACCAAGAGGAGATGGTTTGATTCGAGAAAGGAAGCCACAAAAGCCCTCAGTTTGGAAGACCCGAGCAAGCCTGTGAACAATGGGACTCTTTGGAGGTAGCTGGAATCGACTCGATGGCACTTAACAGACACACAGTCTGACGCTTCAACCCCTACCCCACACTGTCTCCCTTTTGTGCTGCCGACGGGTCCTGAGCAGTGGCAAAGAGGCATTTTAGATTCCCTCTATCAGTCCTTTTCAGTCCTCACTGGATTCCTTCATTTGTTATCATGGCAGATGAGGGAATGTTTCCTGTGTTTACGGAATCCTGCTGCTAGCTAGAAACTGGCCCGTGGCTCAAATGAACGCACAGGCGATACAGTACCGACCCTGATTCTTTCACTCCCCCACCACCAGACCGAGGTTATCTGGGACCCTAGTTTCCCTCACTTCAACTGCCTCCCCCAGGAGAAAGCTAGCGGGGTGCAGCAGTTACAAAGGGTCACTTTAAGAATTGACGCACATCAGCCTTCACCACCCCCACCCCCCAGTTCAGCCTGGAAGTGTACTGGGGGACCTTGGGTCAGTCGTTCTCTCAGCCTAGCCTCCCTCACAGGGGTGTTGCAAAGATAAAATGGAAGGGGGGGAATTTGTGTGTGGTACCCTGAGCTCCTTGGAGGAAGGGGGTGGGGGATGTGAAGAAGAAATTAGATTTATACCCCGCCCTTCACTACCCGAAGGAGTCTCAGAGCGGCTTACAATCTCCTTCCCCTCCCCACAACAGACACCCTGTGAGGTAGGTGGGGCTGAGAGAGCTCTTTGGAGGACTGCCCTTGAGAGAACAGCTCTGAGAGAACTTTTGACTGCCCCAAGGTCACACCAGCAGCTGCAGGTGGAGGAGGAGGAGTGGGGAATCAAACCCGGTTCTCCCAGATTAGAGACCGCACTCCAAACCACTACACAAAACTGGGGTGAGACAGACACAGCTGGCAGCAGGAACAAACAGATTGTGATGATTGTGCTCTCATTCCTCCCTGAAACACGGGGCAATCAAGAAACAGATTCGGAAACAATCCAGCAGGGGTGTCCTTTGAATGGCTAAAGTATTCCATTTTTCCCCCCTGTTCCAGATTCCATTGTGACTGGCTGACAACTGCCAAGGGGAACTCATCTTCGAAATGGGGAACACTATCAATCACAGAGTGAATATTACTAGAAAGAAAGAGCAGATACTGTTGCCAGAGAGGTTCTTGGAACACAAACAGAATGCGTGGAGATGTACGCGTCTGTAATAAAAAGTGCTGTTCGCATAGCTTTCACGGCTGGGTTCGCTGGTGAGGAGCGCATGAACACGTGAAGCTGCTGTATACTGAACCAGACCTTTCGGTCCATCAAGACCAGTATTGTCTACTCAGACAGACAGCTGCTCTCCAAGGTCCTGGATCTTTCACATCACCTCCTAACCAATCCTTTTTAACTGGAGATGCTGCCGGGGACTGAACCTGGGACCTTCTGCACACCAAGGAGAGGTTCTGCCTCTGAGCCACGGCCCCTCTTGACAGCTCTCCAGGGTCTCAGGCAGAGGTCTTTCCCATCACCTCCTGCCTGGTCCTTTTAAGTAGAGATGCTGCCGGGGATTGAACCTGGGACCTTCTGCATGCCAAGCAGAGGCTCTGCCACTGAGCCACAGCCCCTCTTGACAACTCCAGGGTCTCAGGCGGAGGTCTTTCCCTTCACCTCCTGCCTGGTCCTTTTTAACTGGAGATGCCTCTGGGGACTGAACCTGGGACCTTCTGCGTGCCAAGCAGATGCTCTGCCACTGAGCCACGGCCCCTCTTTACAGCTCTCCAGGGTCTCAGGCAGAGGTCTTTCCCTTCACCTCCTGCCTGGTCCCTTTTAAGTAGAGATGCTGCCGGGGACTGAACCTGGGACCTTCTGCGTGCCAAGCAGATGCTCTGCCACTGAGCCACACAGCCCCTCCCCAAGAGAATGGCCACTAAGTTCAATCTGGCTGCTAGGCCTGTCTGCCCCTTGGGAAGGTGCTGTCTTGTTGGGGAGCGCCTGCTGACCAGGTAGTACTGGGGAGGCCAGAAATCAGTGCACAACAGACTTCATCTGGCACAGAGTGGTGGCTGGGAAGGTTATCTGGGACACAACTTCCCTGGCCGAGACGGTGGGGGGGGGGGAGTGTGAAACCCTTCCCTCCTCCCATCTCTTTTCTGGCTCTTCTCCTATTTACTTTCACTTCTTGCAGGGAGGGAGGGAGGGTGGATGGTGGAGCACACGTTGCAGCAGCAAGAGAGTTCCACACAGCGGCAAGCGTAAGCAACCCTCACTCCCAGAGCTGGTGCTGCTGCCCAGACTGGAGGCCCTGGGGCCCTGCCTTTGGTCCCCACATCCCCGGCCAGTCTTGTCACCACTGCTGCGGTCTCTCAGTCTCCCCATCGCACCCTGAGCGATGGTGTGGCCTCGGAACTTGGCCCTGGAGCGAGCCACGCCGGGCGGCCTCTGCGGAGCTCCAAGCCGGCGCTGCTGGCAGAGGTCATTCACCCCAGCGGTGCCAACAGTGACTATTAGGGCACCCGTCACTTGAGCGCTCCCGAAAACCGGAAGAAGAGCGGGAAAAGAACGTTGGGGGAACTGGCTCCAGTGACCCCTCCCGAGGCCTCTGAGGCTCTGGCAGAGTCGCTAGAACTTGGGGATAATTTCAGAGGGCAGTGGTGTCGGTCCGCAGTAGCACAGCACCTTGGAAATCAACCAGATTTGGGGGGGGGGGGTTTGAGCTGGGGAGACTCAAAGCTCCATCCATCCACTAGAGCTGGGCGATGCTTCTAGGGCAGTGGCCAGCTGGGACATTTGCTTGTTAAGCTGGATGGCCAATTCGCCCCAAGTACCTTGACGCCAGCAGCAGAAGCAGCAGGACATGGGGGTGGGGGACTCCAAGAGAAAGGCGAAGGAAGGATTGCAAAAGTTGACAAAGGGAAGAGGTAGAAAGGAGGGAGTGTAAACGGAGGCGGGGGGGGGAAAGAGGGAGGGAACTAGAAAAGGGACACGGAGGGGACGTGAAAGGCAGTCAGGGCCCCTCCCAGCATGTAGCCATCTTTCCATGATACATCAATAGTTATGATTGGAAGTTTGGTGTAGCGGTTCGGAGCGATGGGGTCTAATCTGGGAGAACCGGGTTTGATTCCCCAGTCGTCCACAGGCAGCTGCTGGTGTAACCTTGGGTCAGTCACAACTTCTCTCAAGAGCAGATCTCTCAGAGCTCTCAGCCCCCGCCTACCTCACAGGGTGTCTGTTGTGGGGAGGGGAAGGGAAAGGAGATTGTAAGCCGCTCTGAGACTCCGAGGGAAGGGCGGGGTATAAACCCAACTCTCCTTCTTCCAGACAAACCCATGGTCTGAAATTGCCCCCCAATCACAACTGTTTGTGCTCAAGAATGTCATTCTACTTACTGACACTGAATCTAGGGACAAATGCACAAGGACTTCCCTTTGGGGGTTTGTGTAGTTTGATTTAAAAAACCGGCTTTCTGTTTATCGAATCGGGAGAAACGCGTTACGTATACTGCAGCTGCTTGGAAAAACAGGCAAAGCTTTCTGGACAGGCACATTATAGACTGTAAATACAAATGTCTGAATTGGTTCCTCCTGGCGTTTATCCCTGTATGATATTTTTCAATGGAGCACACAAAGAGAGACTGGACTAGCCAGTT